GATTGAATAGTACCTACTGGAGCTTCTGCCTTCTGCCATGCTCCCTAGCACTAGGTTCCCTCTTGAAAGCTTGTAAGACAGTCACTTCTTGCCTTTGTAGTCTCCCCCTCCCCATTTGAGTATCCAATGTCCAAGCTGCCCTTCTCCATCCACTCTGTGTGTGGGTGTGGGTGTGAATGTTTGTTACTGTGAGAATTTGTTCCCTCTTTTGAGTCGCTACTCCATAGGTATAGGTCAAGTTCATCAGACTGTATCAGCTCACTCTCCCCCCCCCCCCCCTTTCCTCTCCTGGTTGAGCTCCGATCATCCAGTCATCCGGTCCAGGTCACATGGGTATCATCTGCTAGTGTGGGCACTCCTGTGCATATGTCCTCTCTTCCCGTTAGCCGGTAGCTCCACTCTCCTCTCGAGTCCTCCGTGGCCACGCCACTGACTCTGGGCCCAAGAGTACCCAGGTCTCTTCACAATGCTTGCCAGCCGGGTTCCCAACTGGGTCCAAGAAGTCCACTGAACATTGTAGGGCTTAGCTTGCCGCTTCATTGCTGCTTTTACCCCCACTTCCCCCCATCGGTGATGTGTTTGGTCACCAATCAGAGCGTGCATTTCCGTTGAGTCTTAGTCTTGGAAGGGGGTCTGCGTAAAGTTTTCTTCCTTCATGTTCTACTTAGTTTTAAATTCTTTTGGGTTTTCATGGTTTCCTTTTTCATTTATGTATTTGATCTCGCAGGACCTTATTTTGGTCTACAATGAGGCGGAGGATTCCAGCTTTGTTCTGTCTCCAAATGGCCAGCTCCCTAGCTATTTCAGATGAGAACGCCATGACGAGATTGTCAGCGTTCTGAGACCTACATGATCTTGTCACCTGGGTTCTTTTTGTGAACTTACTCAAGGAGCTACATAACATGTGGTTACTTCTTATTAACTGTGAAAACACAGTATTTAGAGCTTTCATGATGAAATCAAATGCTCAGCTTCCTGGTGGTATTTACAGAAAATCCAATCACATACTGATCCCCCACCTTTACAGTTCTATTAGAACCCGAGTCCATTAGCTGTCTCATCCAGCAGCAAACACCTTGGAAGCCACATTCATTTCTCCAGTTGTCTGGCAATTAGGAGCACCTGGTGAGTGAGTGGCGGCCTTGAAGAAGTGCTGGATGCAGGTACGTGGCTGCTGCAGTGAGAGGCAGTGGCCTTTACTGAACTTATTCCCCTCACTTCTAAATGAGCTTTGGGTTTCTGTTTATTTAGCTCTCAGACCCTTTGTTTCAGACCCTTTTTGCAAATGAGACAACCAAAGTCCAGGCAGCTTTGGTCTCCTGCTGACCTAGAATCAGAGTTCCAAAGCTGTGTCCTCCTGGGAGCGTGCTGGCCACATGGCAGGTAAGGGTTTGGACTGGCCCCGGGCTGGCCAGTGCTCTAGAGCATGAAGGCTGGCTAGCACAGGTTTGAGGTGGGACAGCACAGAGGACGGCAACTTGGGGTGATGACATGGCTGCTCTGGGTCTGAAGGACCTGCAGCACCAATCCCCACACCTCTTTCCTTTCCTCGGGGCTGGACAGGAGGACCTCCAGGGTGGCCTACTGGCCTTCCTGCTCCTTATAAAACAGTGAAGAGAAACAGTCCTGGAACCTGGGTAGACACAAAGTTCTGCCACTCCTTGTCCTCTGGAGGGACGCTGGAGACCAATGGGACTGTTTTTTCCTGACATGGGTTGAAGACCCCTGCAGCTATAGCTTGGCATTCCTCCATCTACCTTTCCTGGGTTAGGCCACAAGCTAAAGCTTCCTGGGCAGACAGGAAGTCTGTCTGGGTTCGGGGTCCAGAACTGGGGAGCTTGTTCTCCAGATCATTGTTGTTGTTGAGTGCCATCAAGTCGGTTCCAACTCATAGTGACCCTGTATAGGGTTTCTGAGGAGTGGCTGAACCACCAACCTTGTGGTTCACAGTCCAGTGCTGATCTTGCAGTGCCACACCAAGAGTTCATTCTACAGATGGGCTCTGCTTAATACCCCCGTCTCTACTACTCAGAACCTGAAGGGACAGATACCAATTATAGGCTCCTTCTGACACCTTCCCCTGGTAACCAGGTACACTGGTTGCACTGAAGTGTGTTGGGGTACATTGGGCAGGTAGTATGCTGGAGGGTTATGCTGGATGCATTGGGTGGGCACTGCACTGAGGGGTGTGTTGGGAATGTATTAGGCAGGTGGTATGCATTGTGGGGGTGCACTGGACAGATGGTATGCTAGGAGGTTTGGTTTGTTGGGCAGGTGCTGCACTGGAGGGGTTCGTTGGTGGTGTCATTGCCAGTTCTGCCCTCTAGACAGCTAAGCAACATGGCCCCTGACACCCACCAACACCCCATACTTTGCCATGCAGTCCCTTTTCTTCGCACTCGGCCCATGACATGCAGAGCTGGTGGGGGGCTTTCAGGTGTGCCAGCTCAGCACTCTACAAGTGCTGGAACAGACACCTGTGTGTGGGACCCTTGACTCCTGGGGAGAGATGACACTCCATTGGGGTCCAGGTCTAGGAGATTTTATACCAATTCCTGAAGTGAAAGGTCACAAATGGCTTAATAGGATTAGTACTTTCTCTGGTTGCTGCCATTTGTCTGTCTGTCTGTATTTATTTATTTTAAAGTTTTTATTGTGGATTGAGTGAAAGTTTACAGGGCAGATCATCAGTTCTACATTCAACAAATCATACACATTGTTTCATTTCAATGTACTGTCAGTTAACAGTATTTTTGTCTATTCATTTTAGCTCTTTTATTTTCTTTTTCTTTTTAAAACACTCAGGCATATATAATAATTTATACCACCAAAGGACACATTCTGCAAATCTGCCTCCTGGCCGCCAGCTCTCAGTCCCTCTCTTTCCATGAATCTAGAGTCTTCAGCTGTTCCCATCTCTGCTGCCATCTCTGGTGTCGCTACTTCTCTCAAGAAGGTCCCCACATTCGCTTGTGCTTGATGGCCCTAGGGTCCTCTGTTTCTGGACTGTAAGACTAACTGCTCCCCCTGTTTTTATTACAGAACTTCTACCTTTACAATTGTGCCAGTCGCAATTAGTCACAGTAACAATTACTCACTGTTGAATCATAAGAATCTTATCCCCATCTCTTTTTACCAGACCCATCTAGACAAGAGGACTCTGTCTTCCCCCACACACTCTTAAACTAAACTCCCTCTAGAAACCTTGTAAACCAGTCACTTCAAGCCTTTATCACCCCCTCATTTTAGGTAACCGATGTCTAAGTTGCCCGTCCCTATATACCCTGTATATAGAGGGGATAGCATTGATACTTAATGTAAAGACTCCTTCCCTCTCTGTTGTTAATTTTGAGCTACTACCTCCATGAGTATAGGTCAAGTTCATCAAATTACAGCTATTTACCCTCGTTTCCTTTATCAATTTTTTTTTTTTTTTTTCTCTAATCGGGCTGTGAACCTTAAGGTCAGCAGTTTGAAACAACCAGCTGTTCCATGAGAGAAAGATGAGGCTTTCTGCTCCTGTAAAGATTTACAGCCTCGGAACCCCTGTACAGGGTCGCTATGAGTTGGAACCGACTCCACAGCGTATCACCACCACTAGTCGAGTTCTGATTATCAAGCCATCGAGGCTATGTCAAATGGATACTATCTGCAAGTTTGGGTGTTCTTGTGCGTCTCCCCTCACTTCATATCAGCTGGATGCTTCACTCTCAGCTCTAGCCCTCTGTGGCTATGTCCTTGTCCATGGGCTCAGGTGTCCCAAGGTTTCACCACACTTTGAACCAACCAGCCCTTCCTCTTCTCTCTCTCATCTCCAGGTCAACGGGAGTCTATGGGATGTGGTTGAACTCAGCCCATTTCTTAATTGCTGCCTTTCCCCTTCTTCAACTCACCAGTAGACCAGTGTGGTCACCAGCAAGTTTACATGCCTGCTCATGTGTTCCCTTTGGGTTTCAGTCTTAAAGAGGGGTTTATTCTGAAGTGCCATTGTCTTTAGACAGCATGGGTCTGTTTTATTAGCCAGGAAAATTGGCGCGAAGAAAAATAGGAGAAGCACTTCTTTTGTTAAATGTGTTCTGAGCAGAACACATCCTGTGCTTCCACTGCAGTGTCTCTGGAACATCAAGTGATACACAGAAGACTGCTGGCTGTTTTTAGAGCAAATGGCGAGGTGTTGGGGGTGTCAGGAGAGGCAGGGGAGAGACCTCTGAGACTAGCCCTCCCACCCAACAACCTCCACTGCCAGGCTTTATGTTCATTGAGACCATGGCCTCCCATCCATGACCCTGATGTTGCATCCTGGGCTGGTGATGGAATTGACAGTGGGGGCCTGGCTGTCTCTCTTAAGCAAGACTTTTGTCCCGAGGCTGCAGCTGCCTGGAGCTGCATCTCCATCCCCCGAGGACTCAGTGAGACCAGGAGACACTGCGTACTCAGCCACGCTGCAACTCTTAGCTAGTAAACTGGCCACTTGCCCCAAAGGGGCGAGGATAATCTTTCCTGATTTCGATTGTAAATGATAGAATTATAGACAAAGGTTACTTTGCCACCTATCCACCACTGACCTGAGTCTGCTGTCTGCTGTGCAGGGCTCATGGGGGGACAGTACTGCATCACCTGAGGGCAGCTGGCCTGGCCTGCCCACTTGTCCTTAGGGAAGGCAGGACTGGGAGAGGGGGCTCACAGTGACAGAGAACACTGAGGATACCATGAGGCATTGACCTGTGTTTGTCCAGCTATTGGCTACCTCTTGGTCACTTTGGACAGGACACAATGATGTGTCTATACCAGCACATACTAGCTTGTCTGCCCGTGTGAGCGTGCCCTGCTTGGGGCCTGGTTGTGGACCCTGTCTGTTAGTCCCCTTAGCCCTGTGCTGCTGGAGCTGATGCTGTGGTGCGGCTTGTTCCTGCAGTGTGAGGCTGTGCACATCCTCTTGGTCTGCCTGGACCCTTGTGCTGGGAATGCCTCACCTAACCTCATGTCTTTTCTGTCCGCAGATGCAGAGGCAAAGGCTCTTTTGCCCAAGAAGGAAAAACTGAAGCTGAGACGGGAGAGGTGGCTGCAGAGTGAGTCATGACCTTGTCTTGGGTGACAGTTGACATTGGCCTTGTCCACAACTCAGGGGTGGCACGCTGGTCAGGAGCCCTCAGGGGAACAGATACTGGGGTAGATGTAGAACCCTTTAGAGGCTACTGGTGGTGGTAGCTGAGGACCATCTGGGAATGCCTCAGCACTCTTTGAATGTGGTAAACAGATGGGCCCAGGAGTCAGTGATGCTGAAATCTTCAAAGCCCTGACTTCCTTAAAGAAGACCTCCAGAAGCTGCTCAACTCGGCTCCTTGTTTGAAAAACCATTTTGTTTTTTGGTTACCATAATGAATTTCAACTTTAAATGTAGTATGCTCTTGTTTTGAGTATTTTATGGCATAAAAACAGGCTCTTGCACCAGTTCTTTTGGTTCAATCATGGTTCAGGAAGCAAAATCAGAATTGACCCAAATTTTAAAAATTTGGGTTTAATTTACGTATCTCTGTGAGGTTGGTTTTCCTTCTTATGTTTCCTGCAAACATCTCACAGCAGATTGAATGCCACTTTTCTCACTGAGTATTTTAGAAATTACAAAAGACATGGAGTTTGTGGGAAAATTGAATGAAAAGATAATGGGTTTTTTTTTAAGTTCCCTATGTAACTATTTTTCACAATGTGCTGTTTATGTTAGTGTGGAAAAGGTTTGTCATTGTTACTTTAAAAGAACCATTTTAATGTTTCTGCTTTAATTTTGACTATGGTCACAACCAATTGGTATAATCCACCAAAATAAAAGTTCTTGGGATCCTCAATAATAGTTTAAGATTGTGAAAGTGTAATGAGACCTAAAAGTGTGTGAGAGCCACTCCTCTGCTGGTTCAGACACTAGTGGAGAACCCTGTTGTGCGTCAGTGTTCAGTGTCGTGTAGGGTCTCTCTTCTTAAGTATCGTGCTGTCCTGTGAAAAATGGTGATGTACTAAAATTTACACCAGCTCTGGTCATCTTTTCAACAATCACTGGTTTTTCTTTGTTTTGTTTTCCATGTACTTGCTAACAGGAAGAATTGCCTGAAAAGCCTTCTTCCTTTTTTTTTTTTTAATCCTTCTTCCTTTTATTCTAGAATAGACTTTATGTGACCCTGTTGGATTATTTGTAATATCTTGCTGAATATTTACTCATTTTCTGAAAGGTTTTCTCATAAAGATTGTCGTTTAGTTTTTGTTTTTTCTTACTGTTACTGTTGTTTTTATTTTCTTCACATGGGTAAAATGATCTTGATGCGTTTAAAGAAAAATGTGTATTTTTCAGAGGTAACTCGAAGAAAGAAGTCCTGGTATGGCGCTGTGGGTTAATGCAGTGAACTGCAAGGTCAGCGGTTCAAGCTCACCAGCCGCTCCTTGGGTCACTATGAGTCAGAACTGATTCCACAGCAATAACAACTTGGAGAAATGTGTCACTTTCTTCCATGATTATTAATTTCATGTTTTCTATCACTGTTTGGATGTTGCTAATTCATTTTGTTTCTAATGGTTCGTAGCCTAGAGCTGTGCAAAGTACACTTTGTAATATTATGTGTGTGTTAAGTGCCATCAACTCAGTTCTAACTCATAGCGATCTTGGATAGGGTTTCCAAGGAGCTGCTAGTGGGTTTGAACCACCATCCTTGGGGTTAGCAGTCCAATGCTTATCCTATAGCATCACCCCAGGATTCCACACTCTGTAAAGTGGATTGGAAAAATTAATAAACTATGACTTTTTTAGCAAAGACTTGTATTTGTATATAGACTTCTCACTGTAAATATCCTATATACCCTCTTCTTCCTTATTTTTAACTGCCCTTTCTGTATAGATGAATTAGTAGATTTTGTCTTTTCTGATGCATTTATCAGTTCTCTTATTTTCTAAATTATTTTACTAATTCCCTGCTCTTGTTCTCTTTGAGTGTATGTGAGTTGCCTCATTTTTTCCACATGAATGCCGTAAGGCTGTTAAAAGTCCGAAGAATGTAAGAATGAGCACCTATGTACTCTCCAACTAGATTTTACAGTTGTTGTTGTTACGTGCTATCGAGTTGATCCCGACCCATAGCGACCCTGTGTAGGGTTTCCAAGGAGCAGCTGGTGAGCTTGAACCGCCGACCTTGCAGTTCAAACGGCTTATTTATTTCACAACATATCCATTCCTCTGTATCCGCCCATCACCTAGGTCATTTTATTTTTCCCATGCCTTCCTAAGTGAGTTGCAGGCATTTTTCCTCCAAATAATTCAGCTCTAGAGTTTAATACTTGTCTATGGTTCTTTTTTATTTTTTTTAATGATGTATTTTATTTAACCCAATATAGCAACAATATTATTTCTACATGTAATCAGTACAGAAAATATATTTTATATTCCCTTTTTTTTTACTATTTAAAACCCAGCACATTTTTCATTGTCAACACCTGATCTGTGTTGAGATTACATACAATGTGTAGTCCCAGACAGATTCATGTAGCGACTTTGTTCCAAACACACTTGCAAGGTTTTTAATAGCTGAATTGACTATCAAATTTTTTTTCCCTTTTTTATTTTTTTAATGTTTTTGTGAATTATATGATAGGTTTACATGGGAGAATATTAGTTTTACATTCATTCTATCTTATATCGTTTCATTGCCATGGTTACAATCCCCTCCATGCAGTATCAACCAACCAAAGGGTATATATACTCCGCAAGCCTGCCCCCTACACTACCCCGCCCCCACAAGTCTTCAGCACACAGTTGCTCTCCCTCTCTGGATCTAAAGTCCCCAGCTGCTCCATCATTCCGCGTCATCGTCTCTGCCTCCCTCTCAGGCATCACTGCTTCTCTGGGTAGGGTCCCGCTCTCGGCTCTTCTCCACTGATGGTCCTAGGGACCTCCGCTCCTATACTGGAAAGTTAATCACTCCCTTCCTTGCTATAAAATATCTACAGGCCCCCTGGCTCTAGGTTCCCTCTTGAAAGCTTGTAAGCTAGTCACTTCTTGCCTTTGTAGCCCCCCCCCCCCAGTTTTAGGTAGCCAGTGTCCAAGTTGCCCATCCCTGTCTACTCTGAGTGGAGAGGGTGGGAATGATTCTTGTTGTAAGGATTTGTTCCCTCTTTTGAGCTACTGCATCTGTAGGTGTAGGTCAAGTTCATCAAATTGTATCAGATTATTCTTTTTTTTCCTCTTCTGGTTGAGCTCTGATCATCCAGTCATTGAAGCCAGGTCAAGTGGGTATTAAATGCAAGTAGTGGGTGTTCTTGTGCATATGCCCTCTCTTTCTATCAGCTGCATGCTTCACTATCCATGAAGGGCTTAGCTCGCCACTTCATTGCTGTTTTCCCTCACTTCCCCTTATTGGTGACAAGCATGGTCACCAATCAGAGCATGTATTCCCACTGAGTCTTATTCTTGGAAGGGGGTTTGCACTGAGGGGACCCAACCACTTGCCTTGATGTTTCTTGGGCAAGCAACTTGTTTGTTCTTGTAGTAACAGTCCGTCTGCCTCTATTGTTTTGTATTTTTCCTGTAGGTCTTTCTTTCAAGAAGTATCTTCTGTTCTTCTAGCCGTTCCAGGCTGGTCTGCTCGTCCTTTTAAGTGGAAATTTCCCATCTCTGGAGATCTGGATGTGGTTCAGGCTTCTACCTATAGTCTTATGTATTGCAGAGGCTCCGCAGGAAGCCTCCTTCACTAGGCATGTTGTAGCTCCATTTTAGGTATTCCAATCAGTTATAGGCAGAAGATGGACTTACAAGCTTTCTATGGTGATGTTTCTGACTATTCCTTTCTCTCCCCCTCCAGTGTCTATTTTATATTATAATGCAAGGAAAACCAAGATTCAAAAGACAGCCAAGCATCTTAACATTATTCCCCCCTTTTCCCCATTCCAACTATGTCTCAATCTCTGTATCCCAGAGCCCTGTTGTTCCAAGGTTGTGCATACATCATTCTTTACCTCTGTCCCACTTAGCCTATTCAAACCTGCCTAATTGGTCTCCCATCTGCTTTGTTCTTCCGTTCCCCTCTCCCTTCTTGTATATTGCCCCCCTCCCAGCACCCAAACTTTGCTGTGTCTAATCCCTGCCCTGTGTTCCACCTTCCCCTCCCTCCCCTCACCCACCCCCAATATCCCAGCAATCAACAAAGAATTCTTCCCACCCCCCCTTTAGTATGGGTGTTTTTCTTAGTCTTTTATAGTAGTGGTCCTATACAGTATTTCTCCTTTTGTGACTGATGAATTTCACTCAACATAATGTTCTCAAGGTTCATCCATGTTATGCAGTGGCTTGCCCCTTCCTTGTTATTCTTCAAGGTAGCATAATATTCCATTGTATGTATGTACCACCATTTGTTTATCCATTCTTCAGTTGATGGGCACTTTGGCTGTCTCCATCTTTTTGCTATTGTAAATAGTGCTGCTATGAACATTGGTGTGCATAAATCTTCTCGTGTTGTGGCTTGTTTTTCTTGTGGGTAAATACCAAGTAGAGGAATTGCTCTTTTGTCTTCTCCTTTTTTTAATGTAAAACAATGAAATGCAAAGCTCAAGTGGACCATTCAGTGATTTCTGACAAATGCTATACCTTTGCAATCAGAACTCCTTTCAGAATACAGCTCATCCATCTCCCAGGAATCCCTGTGCCCCTTCCCAGTTGGCCCTTGCATGTTGCACCAGAGATCACACTAGTGATCACTGACTAGTTTGTCCATAGTTCTGTTTGCACTGTACTTCACATAAATGGAGTCCTACAGGACATACTTTTTTGTTGCCTAGTTTCTTGGGTTCAGAATAATGTTTTTGAGGTTCCTCCATGCGACATGCAGCAGCCATACATGCCTTTGTGTTGCTGTTGTTATTAGATACTGCTAAGGTGGTTCTGACTCATAACGACCTTATTTACACAGAATAAAACACTACCACCTGGTACGTTGCCATCGCATTTGTTATGTTTGAGTCCATTGCTGCTGCCACTGTGCCAATCAGTGGAGGTCTTCCTCTTTTTTAATGACCTTACCTAGCATGGTATCCTCCA